TGATTGTGTTATTATTATTTGTAAGTTTCTAGATTTCGATTTCGATTTCGATTTCCGAAAAATTTTGAAATCGAAACTAAACTCGATAAAATTAAAAGTGAATTAAGTTTCTAATCACATAATAATAATCAAAATCTAAAGTATTTTTAATTCATTCTCAACAAATAAGTACATGAAATGATTTAAATGATTATTAACTATGTATATTAATAATAGTTCAGTGACGAAAGATTGATTCTCTAAGGAATTTTCTGTGAAAATCAAGTTTCTATGAAATTGTTATTTATTGGTGTTGAAAAGAAAAGTGATAGCAAATTTTTGTGAAAAATTTTTTTTAATTAATAAAATTTTTATACAATAATAATTTCATTTGTTCAAAAAAAAACACCCCTTCCTCGAACATTAATTTATCCATATATATTAAATTATACGAACTTCACGACAATGAGTTCGCAATCAAATGCTAACTCAGAAATCGAAGCAGTTACCCGAGAAGCTCGAACAATTGACGAGTTTTTTGATTCAATTTATAACGATCTAATATCAATCGACCAGAAGTCTAAACAAAAATTTGCTTCCAAATGGAAAGTTCTGAAGGATACTTGGCGTGAAATTTTGCAGGAGTCGAGAGATGAGGCCTCTAGATTAGTCATTTTTATGCAAAATTTCGCCAAAGTGGTGCGTCCTTCACTTCAAGATATAGATATTCCCATACAAGTGATATTGAGTATTTTGGAATCTTATATCAAGGTGATTATAAATTAAAATCGTGAAAAGTCAGAAAATATTATTTGGTTAATTAAACCTTTTATGATGTCGCATCTAAAATATTCCAATAGATGGCCGAATCGTACCGAAGTAAAGCTGAAAAAGTTCGAAAAAAGTTCTACGATCTCAGCGACGATATAAAAATCTTCTTGGCTAGTTACGACAGGATAGGAGAAGATCGGGTTTTTCACGAAGTTCAAGTGCATCAAGACCGGATCATCAAGACTAAGGGTTTACTGAGTGAAGCACTATTGAAGTGGATATCCGCGCTTGCGAAGCTTAGTCTTGGAGTAGTCTCCAGTTTAGGCCTAATTCCTAAAAAAAAATCATATACCACTAACACAAAAGAACTTAACAATGCCACCAATGAATTATGGGATGAAATCAAGGATTATCATTGTGAGTTGTTGTGGTTTTGTAGAATAATGTTGGTATTTAACTAACCTCAAATGCTATTTTATTGAGTTATTTTCTATTTCTCTCTATTTACAATGCACAGCCAACTGGGTCGATCGAAAAGAGCATAAAAGAAAAAGCAATGTCATAGAAAACACATGCAAATTGGGAAATACAATGAAATCGTTTGACAATATCTGGGGTACGTTTAGTTCCAATATTCAAAATCTTAAAAAAACTTTAGACTTGATCTCAAATATCAACCAACCGAGGGGCAACAATGGTCACGAATTGCTATTACGGAGACATTTAGAATCTATTTTTGAAATTATGAACACCGATATGGATTACCTGAAATTGTATGCCCAAAAGATCGGCTCTGCAAGTAATAAATATTCATTCCTGCGCTACTTTCAAAAATAAGTGTAATCTTATTATGCTTTTTATCTTTCTTATGTTTCTATTTACGTCTCTTATTTTCAAATTTGGTTTCCTCTTTGATGTTAATAAAGGAAGACATGAATTATATTGAAATGGTTTACTAAATGAGAATTTGTAAATAAAATTGAATGAATATCACGTGATAGATATTCTAAGGTTTCCGTTCACACAGATATTCAAAAAAGAATTGCGAATTAGTGTAGTGTGCCGATATGGTCAATAAGTTGACACTCAACTCTCGACGTCTTTGACTTTGAATTTGTGTTAGGGTTCATCAAGTTTAGAACATTTCTTTGAAAAAAAGAAAAAAAGAAAAAAAGAAAAACTTTAGAAATATCAAAAGCATTGAGTTCCTGAATTTTCAAAGATGTTTGTGTGTTTAGTGATATACAGGAGAAAAGAATTGGAACATGTGTTTTTGTCAATTGCGCAAAAACCTTCATATTAAACAACTCATAAAATTTATAGTTATGATGATTAAATTTGCTTTTCTATAGCTGGTGTAATAATAAAAAATTCACATGTGAAATCTGTGTTTTGCTGACTCGCGAAATATAATTTATTGTTTTTAAAAAATTTTGAAAACTTGATTTAAAGTGTGTCTCGTTGGATTCAAGCTTTCATTAGAAATAAAAGATGTCCAACTAAATACTGGCTGTAGATAATCATAACAAGTGGTTTAGCTAACGGCAAAGTCTAATTATTTATAAGTAAGGCTTGAAGCATAAATTTCATGTTACATGTACATTAACAAAAATACCTGTTCCCAATTCTTTGTAATGATTACGTAGTAATTCAATAAACAACAAAAAACTGGCAGATGTTAGAAATGTATTATCGGAAAATTAAAGAAAAAATATTTCTATATATTTTTTATTGAAAACCAACTATTACTATAGTTACACCAGGAAATTTTTCAGATGCAATATCAGGAAATTGCAAATATCATATAAATATTATGACAGGCCTGTAAGTTGTATACTATATTCCGGATTTTTTCAATGGGTCGTTTAACAGCTTTGGATGTTTGTTGAATGAAATAAAATTCTTACTCCAAAAATGATTTCGAAATAAATTACTTACAAATTAAAGTATTAAAACATATTCTCCTAAAGAGTCATAAAACTAGTTTATCATACGTCTATAAAAAATCATATATGCATTACAAATTCTTGGAAACATTTCCAAATTCCCAAAAATGTAACTTTCTTGCATAAATATTGTCTGTATTAGTATATTCATTCTATATAGCTTGATACTTTCTCTTCTGAAAAAAAAAAGTTACTCTTTGAAAATTAATTCATCAAATGTTTTTTGCTAAAAAAAATACTCATTCCAAAAATTAACAATTGATTTATATGATAAAAAGAAGAAATATTTGAAAAAAAAATAGATTGGCAATTATAGTGATACCACCCATACTTATCGAAAAAGATGTTTTTAAAATTTGGTTTAATTTTATTATTATTATTATTATGTGTTGTTAGTCCGTCGGTGTCTATGGTAGGTAATTTTTTCCTGGAAGGATATGCTCGCTTGCGTCATAAAAGCCACTTATTGAAAATACAGCCATTGCTAATCTATATTTGCCTGTGTATCATATCAGATAAGGATTATCGCGGTTGGCAAAAGTGGCCTCGGCAAGAGCTTTACCGCCACAGTATTCGGATTCGATGCAAAGGTGGATAATGATCCAAATTCCAAGACTAAGAATGTGACAATCTACAATAGTGATAAGTACACCTACGTTGATACTCCTGGGTTTGACGACAGCAATATAAATGTAGATAACAAGGAAATGTTCATTGAAATCCTGACCAAATTGCAAGAACAAGACATCACAGAAATTCATACAGTTCTTTGGTTCGTGGAAAAAGGAGACAGAGGAACGCGATCTCTTCAGCGACAAGCGAGATTCATCGAGTCTTTTGCGATGAACAGTAAAATAAAAAGCAATATATGGAATAATGTAATCGTCATAATTAAAGGAGAAAACTCTAACACAGGCATTCAAGATATAAACGCTGTCGACTGGGCTGTCAATCCCAACAATGTGGGAGGAGATATGCTTGCTAAGACTTCATTCATCCATGTGTATTTACATGATCGTTTGTCAGAATATCGTGTTAAACCTTTTACCCCTGAAGAATTACATGAACAAGGGATATACAAGAAGGAGGAGTTATTTAATGTTTATAAAAAGATGATACAGGAAAAACATCATGCAGAAAACCCAATAAAAGTCACTTTTAAAGATGCAAAGTGCGTCAAATGTGGAAAGGAAACTGATATAAGACTGGCTGAGAAGTATCCGTGTCATACGAAGGAGATAAATCACAAACACCCAAGCACGGAAATTGTCCATACAGGATATGTCACAACTCAAAATGAATACAGGAAATTTGGAGACAGTTACCTTGATTTCATCCTACCTATAAATATTTATCGTTACCGTTATGTGTACAGAGACAGAAAAGTATGGACCTGCTGTGGGAGGGACTTTGGGTCTAATGGTTGCATTGAGCGCTGTACTTACTGTGGTAAAGACGTGGCAGATACGTCAGAATGCTTGGGGGTTTGCGAGAAGTGTAACCGGCTTTGGGGAAGACCACATGGCTGTTCCAAGAAAGCGAAACACAAATTTAATGCCAATGCTGATGTAGTTCAATTATACAGATCACATGATGAATTATAAATCACCCTGGCTCCTGCATCATATATATTTAAATTTGTTCAAAGAAATTTTAAAATAAATGAATTACAGTCAGACTCTTATATAGTCACACACCTCGGGACCATAGTGAAATTTCAAGAATTTTGGTGACTATGCAGGACATGTTTTTACTATGATTAATTTAGTAGCAGGGAATTTTTCAAATTAACGAAAAAATGTGACTATATAGGATGTGACTATATAGGAGTCTGACTGTATATTAATATTATAATAAGATCCTATCACATGAATTTAACATTTTCATGGGAAAAAAGGCTTGTAGATACTTGTAAATATTACAATAAAAAATTTTGTTTTTATTCAGATTAACCTAATAATATAAGAATTGTGAAATTTCAGAGTATGTTAAAAAAAAAGGAATTGAATTTTAGTTAAAGCTCGATTTTCCTAGTAAAACCTCCATCTCATTGATTTATATTTGCTGTTGATACCTTATTTAGCTGTAACATCAACAAATCGTACTATTGAACCATAATAATAACCCATTGTAAATTTTGAAAGTCGTTATTTTCTTCAATGTTTGAATTAAGTGAATTTGAATCTGCGTGAAATTCAATTAACCAACCAATCTGAATTTCGTATCCAAAAAACCAATATCAAAAAAACTATTTTTTTGTTATCCTATTTTTTTATAACTTATCAGAATTTTTTTTTGCTTCAATTTTTTCTTTCAAAATTTTAAAACCCCTTCACTTACCAATATATGTAAAAACAAAACATCATCATTTGAAATTATACATGACAAAAAATGTTTTCTTAGAGTTACATACACTTGGATAAAATAGTATTATATTATATCAGAGCATCTCTTGTTATGCAAATTAACTGTTTGATAGTCCCCATAGTATTATTATTTTGATAAAAAATTTATATATATATTGAGAGACTTTCATTGGTTAGATTTCAAGTTACAAACGGTTGGAAAAGTCCTGAAAACGGGGTTTATTTAAAGTAAAAAGAACTTGAAATATAATGTAAATTCAAATCAGCTAAAAATATTTTTGCCCAAATATATTTTATCTTTTGTCACCTGTTGTTTTGCCAAACTCCAGAATTTGCAATAAATGACCAACCAAATCAGTAAAGGTATTGGATGAAGATTCAAATGATGGCAGTAGTATTGACGATGATGACAAGTACAAATCTGGGAAAATAAAGGAAAACAAACAAAGATATAATATGCAAGTTTCGATCATTAAATGTGGTTCATTTGGTTTTTAATGACAAAGTAGTTGCATGACATACAAATATATGATAAATTATAAGCCTTTGAAAAAATAAAGCAAATATACAGGGTTGTCGAGATTTATTATTTCCTTTTTTTTCACAACCCTTCCATTTTTGAGGATATTTATATAAAGGCAATATTTATGCCTCGGCTTTAGAATATATTATAACTTTCAAACATATAGTCCAAATGAACCAACTTATGACAATAGAATAATAATAATAGAAAACCTTGGCAAAATATGCAAACATGATGTATTGCATGGTGATCTCACATATTACATGAATATCGAGAAGAAATCAAATTTGTTTTATCATAGATTTTGGAATGGCTTCTGTGGTGGGTGGACTAGTAAGGAGTTTGTTTAGAAGAGAAATTTTTCATTAGAAATTTTAATAATATTTGTATTAGTTATATACACTATTTATTTATTAAATACCTTAGCTTGTCCACTGAGTACTCTTATAAACTAAATAAGAAATATCAGTAATTGCCCGAAGATTCACAATTAAAATCTATGTTATAAAAAAGTGTATGAAAATCATTTTATTTTACGTGACACTTTTTGTTGTTTGTCGACTTCGAATAGAGTAGGTGACGTGGACTAGTGTTGGTCACCAAAACTTTTTGAAGAGACGAAAGTCAAAACTAAAATTAAAGTAAAAACCGAAACTAAATAGTTTTGGAAACCAACATTATATGGAATAAAAATTAATAGATCATCTTCTTGAATGATTTCGAGATTTTCTTTCATCAAGTATTGGAAATATAATAAACAAGGTAAAAACCATTCTCAAAAATTTTAAAGCTTCAATAGTTGAAGAAATATCAAAAACTTGGGTTGAATCAGGAACTGCAACGTCATCAGCAGGATAAGACATATGAACTTTAAATCTCTGCTGAAACTATTAAATTATTATCAGTGAGAGGGCGCAAAGGGCGTGTGTAACATTATCAACCAATCAAATTTTAATTTCTGGAAATAGTTTCTAAATTTATACTAGTTACACAACGAAATTTACTCACTGGGTACGGTGCAGATCATCTATAATCATTAATTGCTTATAGTAACAATTGGTTAACTTCAAAATACTAAAACAAAAAAAAATTATATCATTTTAAAAAATTTAACCGATAAGTTTTATTGTTCATGACTCAAGCTCCAAAACCTATTGGCTGGTTTTTTCTTAAACTGAAAATTGGCATTTTGAAAATTCCGAGTTTTGTTATACATTTAAGAAATTGAGACTAAGTAAATTTCGTATAACAACTTTTTTTATAGAATATTTTCTACGACATAAATTGATTTATTTGATTTATTTATTTCCTTTTGTTTATTAATAAATAAAAGTTTTTTACAACAAAAAGTTTAACGAACATATTTACATTAAAAGAAAATCATTATCAAATTTGGTCATGAGATTCAAAATATTGTAACACGAAAATTATTGTTTGCACTTCTGAGCATAACTTTCAAATATATATGAAAAGAAAATTTGAGACAATTTTTTCTTTAGATTAATAGACTCCTTTTTAAAGCTGAATTGAATGGTGGCGGGTTTTTTAAAATCCAATGTGTGGATCACATAATATTTCAAAAATTTTAACTTTTGTGTATAGATGATCCGCATTGTATATAGCTTCTATCAAATGTGGTAAAAGTCAAAGAGATTATTAACAGTCCATTTCATGAATTTAAATCAGAAATCTCATATCAAATATTCCTATGGATTTCAAGCATCAAGAATACCTCTATAAATAATAATATTGTCTTTTTACCAGAAATAAATTTAAAGATGTTACTGGTTCAAACCAATATAAAAAGCTAACAATTAAAAAATTCTAGAAGGGCACGGTGTGATAAACTATTAATATCACAATCACATTACAGTTGTGCCATTTAGTAAATTTATCACTTTGTACCACAGAAATTGTTTTTGTTTGCAATAAATATAGTGTATAAATAATATGTATGTATGTATGTATGTAAGGTGGTTGGTACACGCAAAAATCCAAAATCATCAATAAAGAATACGAAAAAGACTATTTAGTAATACTAAGTCAGGTATTAAGAAGAAAGTGAACTCACACGTTTTTACAATCATATTTTTATGAATGAAGATTCTAATTTTCCAATTTTAAAATTTCGGTCGTGCTTTCATTTAATTAATTTATGAAAAAAAATGTTCATTTAAAAATGATTTTCTGCTTGATTAATTATATTAAAGAGAATAATTTTTCTTTTTTAAAAAAGTACAATGTCACGTCATCAAGACTTGTTTCTTTTTTGAAAAAAAGTTCACAGCATTTCTCATTCTTATCTAATTACACAACCTACCCTCCATACTCAACAGGTTATCAAATCACATAATTCACACATAATCTACATAATCAATATTTCTTTGCCAATTCAAATGAATCTTCATTTATTATTATTATTTACAATATTTCTTTTTTAACCTTATATTAATAATTAATAAGAATTATATAATTTTCTTGTGTACCCAAAAGAAAAATTTAACGTTGGGACAGTTGAAAAAAAAAAATTTTTTCACCCTTCCGTTCTCTTCTTCCTTTTCGCTACACTAATACGACCTACCCTTTTATTATTCCTTTTATTCCTCTCTACCTTAGTACTTTTTAATTTCAAAGAATTTTTAAAATTTCCAATTTACAAATTAAAAAAACCAAAAAAAAATATTAAAAATAAAAAATATATAAAAAAAAAATAAAAAATAAATAGTGTATATATATACTATATTTATTTATACTTATATTTTTTTTATTAATAGCATAAAAAAAAATGCCAAACGATCCTCATACTAACCGTGGTAGTCAAGAACAAGTTGAAAGTAATGGTATAGCTACTACTACTAATCCTAATAGTACTACTACTGTTGCTGCTGTTGCTGCTGCTGTTGCTGCTGCTGGCACTACTAGCACTACCCCAACTTCTCCAACTACTGTCCTTACTTCAACAAACAATGGAACAACCTCGACAACATCTACTACCGCCACCGCTACCGCTATTACTACTACACCGCCCTCTTCTAATCCTTCTTCCATCATTAATGGTCAAGTAACTGCTGTTATCCCCCCCACTGCCAATCCTCAATCACTTTTCAACTCCTCTTTCATCAATATTACTAATAATGATCAAGCAAATCCTGTAGCTGATAAAGGCGATGTTGCTAAAGAAGAGGAGGCTATTAAAGAAGAATTATCCAGAGAAAGTAGTGAAACTAATATTGATATAAGCAAATCAACACTTACACTTAGAGCTTTGGTATCTACTAAAGAAGCTGGTGTTATTATTGGTAAAGCTGGTAAAAATGTTGCTGAACTTAGGGAAGTAACTGGAGTAAAAGCTGGTGTAACAAAAGTTGTTCAAGGCGTTCAAGACAGAGTATTGTCTGTTGTAGGTACACTTGAAGGTGTTGCGAAGGTAATTGATGAATTGATGAGTTGATAATTATGATTTACAAGTAAAATAAATAACAAATAATTTATGTATTAATTATTTATAAATTTATTATATGTATATATATACACATTATAGGCATATTCATTGATCGCACAAACACTTCTTGAGAATCCTGTCAATGCTAGTCCTAATTCTACACCTATCACGCCACCACCTAATGCTTACACTTCTGTCCGTCTGCTTATATCCCATAATTTAATGGGTACTATTATTGGTAGACAAGGTCTTAAGATTAAACATATTCAAGAT